CACTTTATTTATTACTTACTTACTTACTTATTTGTCAATTTATATATTTCTGCTTTTATTTTTAATAATGTCAGTTTCGGTCCTCCGTACAGCAGAAGCCTGATAATCACCCATTCATTCAAATCAGGTGTGTTTGAGCAGAGAAAAAAATAAAACATGCAGGGCTGCGGCCCTCGAGGACCAGGATTGCCCACCCCWGCTCTGAACAGAACTGGAAATGGGTTTTCAACAGGCTACATTAAGAGAAAGAATTAAATGTTTCAGTCACTGTCTATTCCTGGGATTATTTTGTCTCTAATCTCACCAGTACTCCAGGATGTGATGCAGCAGGTTGGTTATGGGCGGACCCTCAGCTGTGGCCTGTTCGTACAGGAGCCCCCACGATCCGTCTTCTCCCACCACGAACTGTTCAAACAAACGCAGCACACAGTCAGACCACCTTAGTGTCAGCTGCTGTGAGCAGACCCCACCTTAACACCCACCTGCAGAGTTTTATCAAACCAGCGGTTCCCGCTGTTGGAGAACGTCCCGCCCCCGTGCAGCACCTGAGCCGCCTTCCGGCTGGCGTACCTGTCAATCAAGAGTTCGTMCGAAACACGACATCACATTCTGTACAGAGTGGTGATTTACCTAAGATCTATCTGTGACGTAAGAATCTCAGTTTCACAACGTTGTGGTTACAGCAGCTCAAATACAGGAAGTGACAATCGTTGGCTGCTGCCAGATGTCAACACACGAGACAATCGTATCTGCACACRGACGATTACAAAAAGAAATACCAGCGCGTGTTCCTGCACATACTTTTCATCTGCTATCCGTATGACTGGAGAGTCCAAACACAAGGAGAACAGCCCGGTTTCTATCATCCGCACCGACTCCTGGTTGAGTTTGTCTAAAACATGGAACAGAGGGAAAAGTTTAAACTTGTGRAGGTGATTCTACTGCGACAAGCAGAAAAAAGAAAAAAAAAAACTCAGATGTTCGCTTCAGCTCGGCTATTATCAGTGATCACTCGTCTTGCCTTGATTCTTTATTTCTCAATCACAAGTCGACTAAACAAACAACCTCCTGCCTTCAGTCCAAACAGCTGCATGTGTTTCAGACGGGTTGGTAGAAGTGGAGCTTGGATTTTGTGTGAAAATGCAGAAAAGCGACGTTATGTTTGAGCCGTTTGGCCTGAGCTAAAGGTTTCATTTACCTTGTTTAGTAGCTTCAAACCTACAAAGCTGCTGGTATTTTTACAGGTACGAACCTCTCAGCAGGCGGTTGTACGCCTCTCCCCACGTGTGGCGGTGCTCGCTGGTCAGGATGCCCATGGGCTCCTTGTCGGTCTTCCAGGACTGGGACCGGATCCTCAGCAGCTGCCCGTGGATCTGACTCTCCGTCATCCGCGACCCGTCGCTGTTGTACACCTCCAGCTGGAAGAACTGCAGCAGGAGAAGACAGCAACGTGTTGTTTTACTCACAGAAAGACATAAACGCTCATTTAACTCTCAAACTAGTCTGAAAATGTGGTTTAAAACACAATTAAAAGGTTAAAAATAAAACTTTGATTTGACTGCAAAACGCTCAGTTTGCAATGTTTTACCACAAAAATTTACTAACACTTTAGAAATAAACATATATGAACCAGTTTTTTTTTTTAAATCAAGCCCAGGAACGGATCAGTGGAGCTTTTTGTTTACGTTTCAGCTGCTAACTTTCCCATGTGGGAATTAGGAGGAATAAATCTGAGAAAAGGCCACACTCTCAGTGAGGTCACAGATGAAACGAGGCCCTCTACAAGAGGAGAGGTTAAATATTAAAACCTGTTAGAGTAATCATTAGCCTCTCAACACATTAAAGATTGACCTTTTTATTTTCACCACACAGTAACAAATCTGTGGCTGAATATTGGTGTTTTTATGATGATCGATGGGACGCAGTAGTTAAAAACGAGCAGCTGAAAGTTTTTCACTGATGCCAGACGGGCAGAACTGCAGTCTGCAGTGATTAAAGGCCGACAGAATGAACACCCTGACCGTGTGTTTGAGCCTGTCCACCTTCTGGAGGCGTATTTTTAAACCTTTAAATGAGACGTTTGGAACCTGACMCTGAAGCGTTCTGAACTGTCTCTGTTTGTTTTTTTTTTTTTTGGATAAACAAGTCCAGCACAAGTTCAAAACAGAAGCAACGTTTTGTTCTCTGAGGGATCAGAGATGTTCAGATCAAGGTTATTAGTTTTGGATTTTTCATTGTAGTTTAGTTTTATTTCGTTGTGACTTTTTCTTTTAGTTCAGTTTTATTTAGTTTTTACAGCAGATTTGATCGTTTTTATTAGTTATTATTGCATTTTTAATGCTTAGTTTTAGTTTTATTAGTTCTAGTATTAGTTTATTTATAGTTTGAATAAACATATTTGCCAATGCATCAAGCTTGTGATGTTCCTGTGAGTTAACTAACCAACGGCTATTTAGTTATTAGTTAAAGCAGTCCAATATAGCGAAACCTTCCTAAAATAATTGTGTAACTCAATTTTGTCAACTAMGGACTTGGGCGATTATTTTAGGACAATGACAATAGTCGTCTCTAACCCGGTGCTAACTGCTGCTTGTTTCATGGAGCTACTGAGAGAAGCTAGTGTGTCAAGACAGTCATAGATAGCCATCGTGTGTGAGTTTGATTCATGCAGTTTTTGAAGTTTTCCACCTGTTTTATCACCTGTTTCCACTACAAAACATTTGCTTTTATTTTTCTCACATCATATTCAAAGAAATCCCAAAGTGGACGCTTTCTCCCAACTTTTGACGTCATTTAGCAGACAATGCTACAAACCACAGCTAATGTGAAAATACTCAATTAAAAAAAAAGAAAAATATTGACAAACACTAAAACTAAGGATATTCTATCTACTATTTCAGTTAGATTTAGTTTTGTAAAAAAGTTTATATAGTTTGAGTTATCTTTTTTATTCATTTTATTACAGTTTTTATTTATTTTAGTAAACTAAAATGTTTTTTTTTTTAATCAATTCCAGTTTTCATTTTTTCGTTAGTTTTAGTTAACTATAATAACCCTGGTTCAGATATGTTTTAATCCCTCCAACTGTTAAACGTCTTCACACAAACATGGTGCTTTAGGACAGTGGTTCCCAAAGTTGAGGTCAAGACCCAAAGTGGGGTCCTGAAACATCAAGGTGGGGTCCTGAAAAGATTTTCTAAATTAATTACGTTTTTGCCTTAGTTGCCTAAAATGTATAAATACAGAATAATAAATAGTTACTATGCCCATGTTTAGTTAACCCAATACAAATGTTTATCAGCCAAAAATAGTTGTGGGCACAGGTCTCTGCTACTGTTATTTTGTGGGTCAAAAGCTGAAAAGTCTGGGAACCACTGCACTTCAGAAATTAATTTAAAGTGTAATAAAATAATTGGTGATGTAATATTTTCCCTATAATTATTACAAAACACCTTTGTAGCCTTTGTTTTTAGGGTTATTAACAAAGTTTGTGTACTCAGACCGGTAATATTTGGGGTCACTAGTTTTTGCAATGAATATTTTTTGGGTCATACGATAAAAGGTTTGGGAACCACTGCTCTACAGTACATAGGAGGAGTTTCTTGGTGTATGGGCGGAGTCTGTCCTAACTGTGATTGGTGGAGTGCTTGGTGTGGGCGGAGTCTGTCCTAACTGTGATTGGTGGAGTGCTTGGTGTGGGCGGAGTCTGTCCTAACTATGACTGGCCGAGGTTTTTGGGTGGGCGGAGTTTGGCAAAACTATGATTGGTCGGATTGACTTGTCTTGTGGGGCAAGTTAAAAGATGAAGTACTAGTAATAGTAAAATTATTGTAAACATGTAAACATAATTTCCTACTTAGTGACTGAAGAGACTCCTTTCTAAGCGTATCAGACATCAATGAAATTGAAAAATAGATTAACTGATTTTACTTACAGTCACTATCATCTTGTTTGTGAACCAGCCACAAGTTGTTTTGGTCTTTATGGAGATAAGCGGTCACCTGTTGAGCGCAAATCAGAAAAAAAAGTTTAAGAATAAATTTGCTTAAATAATTTATGCTTAAAAAAATGCCTGTTGCCTGACCTGCTGTTGCTTTGCCCCCACTCCCTCAGGGTATAAGTGCCAGTGAGAGTGTAAATAACCTCCAGCTATTCGAAGGTTTTTCACTGTAATGATGGAGCCGTATGCTAAATCTAGAGAAGAAAACAACAAATCAAGGAGACAGAATGATTAAATGAACCAGAAACAATTACTTTTATATTCACTATTCCAAAATTTATGCAACTGATCCTAAAAACAACAAATGACGGATGTTAAACTAGTAAAATGTAAACAAACTGTCATGAATCTG